AGAACTGTTAGAAAATTCCTTAAACATTATCTGCCAATACTGTCTACGAAGAAAGAAAACAGGAGACTCACAGAGAGGGACTACAACATAAGTTACTTTAATATTTGAGCAGATTTGAGCTTGGAAGCCTTGAGAAAATAGCCAAAGAGAAGCTGTGACGAAGGGAGTGTGTACTGTTATTCTCTTTTACCTTAACACACCTCCAACGTCACTGGCTGTGTCAAAGAGTTTACAAAAGCACAATGACTGAAGCTCTTTTGGACATCACCCTATCATTATACACAAACAATTATCACTTCCAGATTAATTATTTTAGCTTTGGGGAAATAAACAAAACCTTTACACGTATTTCCATTTCTTGACAAATACCAAATGTAATTATTTTTTTAATAGAAAATAGGTTACGGTTCATTCATTTTCTTTGTCTTAATTGCAGTCTTCAGAATATAAATATTAAGTCTGATTAAAAAACAACAACAACAGTTTTGTTGCTTAACTCAATTTTGTACGTTAACAAAATCCTTTATAATCTACTGAAGTTGCTCACATAAATTAAATAAAAAATACAGAGAGAAATGCTGAGACATCTACAAAAGAAAGTGCTGTATATAGGGCATTATATGCGATACAGCATAAACCAACAGCCTACTTGTGATAAGGCAGAATTTCAACTCAATCAAACGTCCTTGTACCATCTGAAAGAATGAGACACTGTATGTTAGTTTTCCAGCACAGACACTACCTTGTCTGATTTAACCCTACTGCTGCTTAGCACTTCATGCCTCAATTAAAAGGTTTCCAAGGCTACCACAGAAGACAGCACAGCTGCTGTGATATGTGTTGAGTGTGAATTTCATTTCCAGAGTGTTTATATGCAAATCTAGCTATGCACCTACCACTGTTCAGAACACAAGCTTTGCTACCTTGCAACTGAAGGACAGTATATCATTTGTATCCAAAATTCATTGGAAGCTGTTTCTACTCAGTGGCTGTTCCTAGAAACCTTTATTGAATGAGTCTGTGATTTAATTAAATCTAACTTAAACTGTGAACTGCATGTTATGAAAGCTTTTCAAAGCCAATACCAGAGGCTGAAGAGGCCCTAAACATTTGGACAAAAAATGTGATATAATATAGTTCACGCACTGCCTTTCAATACTTGCAAAATCCTTGCCTGAGCACTTCTTAGATTCATAACTGTAACAGATCCTAAGAGATCCATTGGAATTTGTTTTTTTTTTCCCGCTTCCTTCAAATGGCATGTACAGTATGTGGCAGTTCAAACTGTAGAATTCTGTCTGCACAGAAGCGAAAATTAAAATTAAAAAGCATCCAAGACCACTGAACATACAGATTATTATTTCTGATATCATGCACACATTGAATTTTCAGCTACTGCAATGACTTATGAAACACTGATACAGTTTATTCAAGGACTCTTGAATTCTAAAGATACAACAGATGTGCACCATTTACCAACCTGAAAATGAAGTTTTCACAATATGAAGGGCTACCGTAAAGACCTCTCCACGCACATTACTGTTTGACAAGCAGATTCTGGAAAAAAAGTGCTTTTATATATACAGTACAGTAAGTGCTGGTACACTCCATTATCACTCAAAGTCACATTTTGCAATAAATCATGAAACCTCTTGTGACTATGCCACAAAAAAACATAATTAACTGTTTCAAACATGTTTTATATTCCTGGTTTAATTACATATCCTATTTTACTCATACAGTTTTCGGCATTTTTTCAGAAGGCCAATTTTCAAAGATCGAAATGTCTCCAAATGCCGCTTGGAACATGTCCTGCAGAGCAGGGGGAACACGTGCAGCAACATCACGTCCGCCCTCACTCTGCATATGGACAGCACAAGGAGAGCTCTTCTGGGAGCCCCCTGCATCTCTCTGCTCTGCAATGGAATTCCTTCAAAAGGTGTGTATAGAAAGACCCGTTTGTGCATTTCACTGTCATAAGCAATGATTCAAGGTGCAGCTACAAAGTCATTAATGTCAGATCGAAGATGATTAAAAAGTTAAAGAAAATGTAAAGCACCATTACAGATATCATCTGCATCTTTTTTTTCCTGAAAGACTAGCATATTACTTCATAGCATAAATGTTACTTGGAATGTGAGCTCAATGTAATACAGGTTACCTTAGATCCCACTTTGCACACTGATAATACAGGGGAATGTAGTAGAAGAAAGGGTGACACAACTACTTTTACATATTGAGAGTACTTGTTACAAAGAAAAGTTCAAATCTTTTATTACTGCGTTTTGGTTCCCAAAAACTGGCAGAGACTACATTTAGTTTGTAAAGACAAACTGCTAATAAAATTATTTTCATGGAGCTACTAAACCAAAACTGCAATCCTCTGTACTCTTAAGAACCCTGGGAAATACAGACCAGAATACTTTATTAAATAATTCATAAAATGCACACCCAATTAAAAAATCCCAGATCATTAAAAACGTAGAATAGTGTCATTCATTTGTATTAAAATAAGCAACTATCTCACATGTAATTATCCAGAACAATGTACATCACAGGTACAGTTTCATCTTTAAAACTATCACCTGAAAATCAGATAATGGAATTAGAATTGTATTTAGGTCACACATGCACCTAAGATTATTGAGATTTACTAAATCATCTTAGTAGCTGCCCTTCCCTTATATGTTAGTAGCCATCAACACTTCATAAACTAATGTGAATAGTCACTATAAAGAAATTAACAGTATTTTAAGCATACATCATGCCACTCAGCACCCCAGCAGTGCAAATATTATTCAAGGCGTTTTCATAAGCAACATATTGAGAATGACCTTTGTTTCATTCCACATAATCACATCCTTTGCAAGATTATTTTGCTAAAGAACTTAACCCCCTTCAGAAGCCTCTCAGCTTTTATTCTGCATGGTACTGTTTCTGTCCTCATATGGGATTTTAGTATAGTATGCACATGGGTAGCAAAGACTCAACTACCACTCAAGCCAGCACTCAAACCCCATGTAAAAAGGTGGAGAAGCTGCCATTAGTACTGTATGTCACTAGGCCTTTTAGGGTTAATTCAAACAGGTAATTTCCTTGAGGGAGATGAGGTAACATACTGTCATATTTCCCTGGGGCCTTATTTAACAAAGAAACTAAGGCTGAAATAACCTGTTTCATCCTTCACATAACAACAAACACCTTTTATCAACATTTCTGAATTCAAATAAAACTGTCTATCCTGGCAGATAGATTTATTTTCTCTCTTGTACAGTATATACAGTATTCCACCCCCTAATTCGTTTTTTTTTTTGCTTTCTTTTCCATATTACAGGTAATTGTTAGTTTTTGCATACTGCACCCCACACAAGATTTCAGCTTCAATAGGTTTACGGCCTGTTTAAGTTATTTCTACTGCTATAAAATAACACTTGTAAATCAAGACAACTGGTATAAGCAACGCGAAATGGTTTGGGTTATTGAACCGCGTCGTCACAAAGCGTACAAATAAAACTGCACTTAATTAGAGAGTCCAAAAGTCTAATCTAAATTAATTTACATTGAAGACAGCCATGCACACTATCAGACTTGTTAAAAAACATCAATATTTTCTTAATTCCACCGATTTAGATTAAACTCTGATGACTCCAATTACGCCAAAGTCTGGCAACATACTATACTATATAAAATTCCACCCTAAGCAATTAAAACGTAACATGTACTGCATTTGTAGTGTTTACTTTATAAAGTAGGAAAGCAGACTTTATACGGTAGGCAGCAGACTTCTTTCAACCAGTCACAATACTGTATATACCGTACAACAAAAACACAAAAAGACACGTTGTTAAAGCGGATATTCAGAAATAAGGCTTTTTGGCAGTTATTAAAGTGGATTATAGTCCACTATTAAAATGGACCAAGTACTGTACGCAAAAGTAACTTAAATGTTTTGTCTGGTCTATCAGATCATCGCAATAATACAAGCTACTGCCCATACGGGACAACCTTTTTAAGACCTTAACTTTAATCTTCTGTATCAGAGAAAAATGCATTTCTTTACACAACACCTAAACTGGCGTTAGACGTATTAGTAATAATATTGCCAATGCATTGTGCAGGCTTGTTAGTGCACGAAACGTTTCTTCTTTCGACAGGCAAAAGCCCCAAGAAAAACTCGTAATTTTTTTTTTTCTCAGAAAGAACTGTGTCGGAGAATCTGGGACACGCAGCTTTATTAAACATGTACGCCCTTCGATGACAGTTAACAGTTAAAGTTCCCCGACGTTTTTTTTTTTATTATTATTATTATTTCAAGCTTGTCAAAAGAGGATTTTCGAAAGCAGGAGGCTAGGCAGAAAGACATGCCCCTCTCACAAGCGCGCACGCACACTTCAGGGCACTTAGTTCACCCTTTAAAAAAAATGTTAAACTACTGTAGATTCACGAGGGCGAGCGCAGGGAAGGGCTAGACTTGGCACTGTGTCCGGCCTACCCAGGTACTGTACGCACACGCCCGGCTCTTTCCCAATCGCCTTTCCTCTCCTGCGCCGCCGGCGGCACAGAAAATACGGAATTATTCAGAAACGGGCACTGCAGCAGCAGGCCTGCGGAGACTTGGCAGGCAGCCCCCCAAACCGAGCGGTTCCGCCTGCCTGCGACACATTACAACGCGGGCGATCGGAGTGCCCGTGGCACCTGCATGCTTGTGCGTGTGTGTTTTTTAATAAATCTCAGTGGCAGAGCGGTGCTTCGGGCCCTCGCTAGGGGTACTCGGATTTCAGTGCTGCAACCAACTGGGACGGTGTCGGCTCGTACATGCATGAAAGCAGTCATCAGGCACGCCGCTGCACTGTAAATCGCCAGACTGTTAACGCCAAATAAATTAAGAAAGTGTCTGCTGGCGCAGCTAGCCACCTGATTGCTTTCCAGTGTGTTTTCAGCACAAAGTACTAGATCTTTAGGACAGCAGGCAGTCGTAGGAGAACCGCAGACTCACTTACCTTAACATCACCAAGACTCGCTGCTCAGTCGCTCAAGCCGCAAAACTGATGGTCGGGGCCACGCAAACTGCTCGAAACAAGACTTCAAGCAAACATACGGCCGCGAATATGAACTGGATTAAGGCTTTTTTTAAAGGAAAAAAAGAGCATTCTCATCGGGTGGGGCAAGAGAGGTCATAAAGTTTCAGAGGAAAACACAAATTGCTGCTTTATTTTCCCTTTATGATACTTTAAGCTAAAGCTTTACGTGCAACAAGCCCTTCTGACAGCTCTCAGAACAAGAGAAAGACAGGCTCGTTGAAAGGGGTTGAACAGGAAAGTAATACCGATATCGCGCTTTCCACAAACACTGAAGTGCACCACAAACTATTAAATTTCGGGTTTTAACACAATTAATCATCTGTGGTTATATTCTCTAACTAGTTTCATTGCATAAACGAGGAGTTTTAATAACAGCCATGAACTCGTCCCTCTATTAGGCAGGTATTGGTACATTCCAAAAGAATGTCAGGAGCCCCGGGAAGGGCAAGGGTCTGCCTGTTGCCTTGGAAACAGCAGTGAGACTCCGGGGAGTTCGCTGAATGTATCCTGCTTTTCAAATCAACAGGCAGTTCTCCACAACGTCGATGCACTAAGTGTGTTTTTTAACATGTTTCGCTTCAGGTTGCCGGAATAAGAATTCCAAAAGCAAAAGCGATTTAATATCAAATATATTAAACCACATAAGGTTTCAGCTGTTGGGAATGACGCACAACTACTGTACCAAAGCACGAGAAAATAGAAACGTAAATCCATGGCTTACAACAGCTGATTTTTTTTAGAGGAAAAAGATTTATTTGTGCATCCTAAAACAAAGATTTATGTATTTCGTTGCTACTATTGGAATGTTACATCCTACCATCCTTCCATTACATTTGAGCTGCACATTTTCCATAGAGATACAGTACTGTACGTTTTACAGCAGGAGTTAAAGTCAGATCCTGGAGGTTCAAATGTTTTCCGGCTTTTGTTACAACCGGAGGAGTTTATAGAGCAATTTACCTCATTACGTATCTTAGACATATCTAAGGTTTTCCTGACGGTCTTGCAGTTGATTATTCAGAATATTCACCCATTGTCAATAAAACTCCTCAGATCCAGGTTAGAAGTCTTACGGTTCTGCAGTGGAAAAAAAACAGAAGTCAATAGGCCTTCAAGGAAGTGAATTTGTAAGCCACGTTTTATAAGAAAAATAATCAGTTAACCACAGGTGGCATCTAATGTTTGCTTGAGATGAAAGAAATATTCTTTCATGAATCATGTGTGAATTAAAGTGCATTTACAAACTCAAAAAATGTGGAATTTTTATACAAAGTTGAAAAATGTACAAGATGGACCTGCAGACCTTCAAACCTTCAAAGTTTGTTTTTAGAAGCAGTGAAGACTAAGATTTCTTGTTTAGTTTACACACAAAAGTGACCCACGGAAACTGTTTTCAGTCTCTTCTGGGGTTATAAATCACACAGCAATTAAATAAAACTCTTTGAACCTTAACCTATCAAACAGCAAAAAAAGATTCTTGGCAGCAGTGTGAACAGGTTAATGATGACTCTTCTCTGCTGAGGAAAATTGTATGGGAAAATAGACATAAATGGAATAAAAAAAATCTTCTGAACTCTCATAATATTTTTATATAGTATATATAGGACCTTTTAAAGCAATTATTTTAAAGCTCTTTCCCAACCCAAGCACCTAACCCATCACATTGTCACACAATCACACACCGTCGTTGTCTGTGTGAGTACAGTATACTGTAGTTGCCTTATTAAGTCTGACGATGCTCAGTGCTGTTGCCTTCTGGGAAATTTTTGTATGCACATCACCTGCATGATTTATAGCCAAAGAAAACTCCATGCTTGAACTCAGCTTGAAGCCACTGCAGTGTCTTGTGAGATTTTGATGGTGTAGAATCTGTGTTGGTTGAGGACTGCTGATTTTTTTCTCCTCTCCTTTCTGCCTTCCATGACCATCGGGCAAAAATACCTTATTTGTTTGATACACTGCAATCCCTGCTGGGAAAGGCAAGGCTGCAAATAACTGCAGGCACCGCAGTGATCAGTATTTACTGATGTCTGCTGCTCATTAATGTCTTGACGTACAGCTGATTGCACAGCATTTCTGATAATTACCTAGCATTTCTCAGTGCACTGCAAAAAAAAATAGTCTTAATTTTCTTCATTTTGGAATCTTCAACAGACGCAGGATGGTGTTTTCCAGATTGTTATTAACCTTTTAACCAAATTCATTTGCAGAATCCTTTTCTTCATCTTGATATTAATAATACTTATTTTGATTTATATGGTGCTCTTCATCCAAAAGGATATCAAAATGCTACACATTTAAGAGGGAATCATGTAACTCATGGAAGGCATTCTGTGTCTGCTGTCCCATTACACATTCTGGATATTGCAAAACATGTCAAGGTATACCAAAAATATCAGAAAAATCAATTTCAGTGAGACAACTGTGAAATACTGTACCATATATAAATATTTTATAGATAATACATACATGCAACCACAAATATGTGCAGTTCTGGTGATATGGTTGATATTAATAAGAAAAGTTGTTTTAAAATTGAAAGATGAAGAAATATTTATTATTTTTAAAATGCTCTTTCAGAAGCTTTTTTAAAGATCCAAAGAGCTAAATAAATTAGATTTGTTGAATGTTCCTTGTATTAATTGTTTTCTCAGGTTAGAAATACTCAGATGAAAAGCCTAGCTTAGAAATGACAAAAATGGCATTTCTTACATTACTGATTATTCAAATTCAAAGCTAAGCATTTCATGGAACAAATAAGTTCTGAGGTACTGCTTAGTGAAACTGAAGTAAAACAATCCAACATCCTAAAGTGAGCGCAACATGTAATAGCAAAACTCTTCAAAAAGTAAAAGTAGAGTATAAAGTTTTGAAGAAAGAAAAACAGTCGCGAACATAAGCTTGTACAGACTAGACTATGCAAATAAAACCAGAGAAACAAATATAAAATCAGTCCTTTACTGAAGTATAAATCTTGTTCTTGAATAGCATAGTTGACAACCGTTAAAATGTGAACCATATGTATATATTTAGGTTACATTTTATATTTCCACCCACAGCTTCCTGGCTTGAAAGAACCTAGAGGATCAAGTTAAATGGGGGAAGACAAAGAACAGAGAAGAAACAGCAAAGTAGCAATAAAGACAGCAAAGTTACTGAATTCCAAAACGAAATGCCAAACAAAAGCGAGGCAGGTTTGTATACTGCTAGTTTATTCACACACATACAGTATGGCCGTTCTTAAAAAGCAATCTTGTGATACAGTCAAAATCACTTCAAGAGTACTTTTTTTATGAAAATGTCTTTCTAAAAAAATGATCTTTTATGTATTATGCTGAGAATTATCACTCTGTAATTATGAATGATATTTGATGATTGTGTATCAGTAGGTTAGAAAGCACCACTGTGAAACTGCACTTGACTCCAGTCTTCTCAATTCAATGTGAGAATTTGCAGTCTAAAATTGGAAATAAACAGACAAGCTTGTTGCCATGCTGTGGAATATGAGATCTGCTATTTGAAATTGGCCCTGCCTCTGAGCAGTTGTACTGTTTTTGTGACAAAGCCAGGGCTAGATATGAGAAATTAGGCAGATTTTTGCAAAATCCATACTGTCAAGAGAAATAACCCCATTTGTTAACACACATAAGTCCACACATATATATATATACACTGTATAGCTGATTTAATATTTCTGTGTTTCTTTTACCAATTTTATATATTTATGTACTTTCAAACACATAAGGAAAACAAACCTCTTAGAAGTTGAAATGAAAGATTTATTTCAAGGCATATTTGTATTAAAAAGCTAAGTGAAATACTGCTTAAAACAAACAATAGTAATGAAATAAGAAATACAAACTTAAGTCATACTCTTGTCACCCCCTGCATTTCCAAAATGAAGTCCTGACTCTATCACACTATCATGTACAGTACATCAGATGTGAGTCTGATTATATTTGGATATCCGCGCAACCCTCCAAGGATATAACATTTGCTCAAATTGGATGGATGGATCTGGATATAATTCATTTTTCTTCACTGTAGATCTAATTCATTTGTATTGCTTAGAGGTGACCTAGTAATGTCAAAATTCGGATTCCTGTGCTTCCGGTACCTCAAAACTGTGTGTTGTTTTAAATAAGAATGAATGTTTTCCACAATACAGATTATACATCTTTCTATGCATTTTTAAATTTCTTTTTTACCCCTCTAAGCCATCCTCATTGACCCAGATTACTGTAACTAACTTCTAATGTACTCTTCCAATGCTAGATACAAATATAAAACTAAGTTTTTACAAGGCATTCAAAAACACAATTTACATCATTCCTTCCTGCTGTATTTAACTTTGAGAAGATGACACTATTACTAATAGCTTTGTGACAAATGCCAGCACACTCATCACCACAATCCTAACACTGCCAGTGTGTCACTTTAATTTTTTGTATTTTAAGTGCATCTGTCTTACAGTAAGTCTTTTGGATTCCTCTAGCATCCAAGTTGTTTCACATTCCCTATGTGCCTGTCTTCCTTCTAAGCTGCTCTTCACTTGGCTCTACTCACACAAATGACTATTTTCTCATCAGCTCTTCACTCCGTCTTCATTAATCACCAGGCACTGGAGGACACAACTCAACTAAGTCTGTCACCCAATTCTCAAACTTCACTTTGACTCAACTCTTTCACCAAGTTCTGCATCTTCACTCACAGCAAATAACTTTTTCCAGCTTCTCTGCAACCAACACATTATAGCAGCCCATTTCCTTTTTCCCCTCGTTCTCTCACTTGTCATAGAAGCTGAGACCAGCCATCTGTCTGCTGATGGTAAGGCACAGGGAGTACTTGGGTCTCAACTTGTGCCACCTAGACTTCTCTTCTTCAGCTGTGCAGAGAAGGTACACTGCTACTTTGCCAAGTGATGTTCCACTCCTTCAGGTGCTAGTGCCTCCAGACAGCCCCATTTCAGCAAGCCAACCCTATTCCTCATTAGCACATTTCAGTCCCATTGAGCCTAGCAAATAAACTGCCAAGCAGCCCACCTGTTCAGCACTGCGCAGCCTGTCAGTACTGCCTAAGTTCTATTTTCTTAATACTCCTTAGCTCAGTGATTCTCACCAGCTCAACCCAATACTAATGAGCTCTCCCCCTCTGGAACTTTCACTATCCCTCCTACCAGACTGAAACCCCTTTCC